TTAGTAATTACTGTAGGGCATCATTTAGTAATTACTGTAGGGCAGCATTTCAACTAATCCAGCTAATTCCAGAAGGTTCTGGATTTGGTTTATGGAAGCACATACAAAGAATCTGTGGTTTTAAAATACATGAAGCAGAATAAACAATGCTTGAACAAACATTTTATTGAAACAGATACCAAAATGGTAACAACAAATTAAAAAAAAGAGAAATTAATCTAATAAAGCTAATTAAACTGAAATGGAGAGAAGAGATTAAATAGAATGAAACTGAAAACAACAAAAAGGAAAAAATTAAAAAGATGTTTGTCAATTGTGAAGATACAAAGCAAAGTAATACCTCCTAGATCAGACTTTACTTTCATAGTCCTCAACATAAAATATCAGAAAACCACTTCCTTTAACTTTATTATCTACAGAGAAATTTCCAAAAATAAGTCGTTTCAACACTCTCCTGAAATACCTACAAAATTAGTCTTCTATTAAGAAAAGTGTTGACCACAATATAAAACTGACTCAAGACACTTTGCATTGGTTTCCACAATAGAGATATTGCCCTCAAAAGGGAAAGTTTCACAAGGTCATGACGGATTCCTTTTGTAAGATCATGTTTAAGAACTAAAAAGGTAAATATGGTTACCTATAATCATAAGTATCAGACTCGGGACACGTGTGATTAACCATATTCATAAGTACCAGACTCGGGACACGTGTGACTAACCATATTCACAAGTATCAGACTCGGGACACATAAACAAAATGTAACTCTCTAAAACCCTTGTGTCATGTGCAGTAAAGGATGCCCGGGCAGACAGGGTTAAAAGCTGGTGAAATCCCATTAGCAAATGCTATTTTCAGCTCGGTGTTTTGAAAGACAGACAACATCTAGCTAGCTACAGTCATTCCAGTGTTTAAATAAAAAGTGTACTTTGTTTTGGGTGTAGGTTATGGCCATACAGTAGCCTGTGTAACTCTAAAAAAAACCACGAATTTGTGTACGTTTGCGTTTAATTGCTAGAGCATTATCTTGGATATTAAGCATCAGCTGAGACAATGAGCTACTAGCAAGCAGTTAACTGTATCTCCTGATGCTTAATATTCTATCTAGCCATACTGATTTCAAGCTTTAGCTGACATGTGCAACATTCTCCAAGTGCTTGAGACTGCATTTCATTATACAGTAGGTTGTCGGCAACAGAACAATCTCAGAGGGACCACAGAAACTGTATATGGAAAGGAGAGGCGCTACTTGGATTAACATTCTCGTCAGTCATGATCTAATGGTAGTTAGCTAGCTAGCTGTCTCCTATGTACATTCTAATGGAGCTCTCAGTGCTAGCTGGCCAGTTAAATAGTCCATGTTAGTTAGCTTTGGAGCTTAATCAGTTGTGTGTGTGCATGCGCACGTATCTAGGAACAAGACTTTGGCACACTGACGTTTCTCCGATTACCGCACATGATCTAGAACAGACTATTGTTTGCGTCACCGTCTTAGAAACAGAATTACATCATCAGTATGAAGTGGGCTCTAAGACACTAAGCCACAGAATTCATGACGAGTCAAATAATGGAATAGAGATGACAAATTGGCAAACATGGATATTCTCCAATATTTTCATTAAAAATTTCCACTTGTCCAATCAGACAAGTACAAAGATGACTTTACTCGTCACACTACGCATTTTACTTGTCCCGGACAATTGGACAAGCGTTAATATCAATCCCTGTCATCCCAACAAATTCTAGCAACAGATCAACCAAAATGAAGTTATAAATCTGAGGAAGATAAACACCCCACTGTAGAGAAAATAAGTGAACTAATATCCACCAAAACCTCCTCAAAGGAATGGTGGATTACAATGGTAGAAAGAATAACAAAGGGGCAGAGAGTGTAAGAAAAAGGTGGGAAAAATTAAGCCTAACTAGTATGCACCAAAACCCCCTCAGAGGAATGGTGGATTATCAGGGTAGAAAAATAACAAAGGGGCAGAGAGAGAGTGTAAGAAAAAGGTGGGAAGAATTAAGCCTAAGAAATTTTGACAGAAGACGTAGGATCTGACTCCCAAATCTGAAGAAAAGACTGCAGAGTTTGGGTGTCTATGAAATGAATGCAGTAAAGCTCGACGTTAAGCCCAGCCATACTAGGTAAAAAAGGAAAAAGAACGAGACATGCAGAAACCAAACTTGGGGTAAAAGTAATGGAAAATGGACTTGAATATTTGGAGAGGAAGTAAAAACATAAAAGTAAGAAGCAGGGAATGAATTACAAAGTGAAGGAAAGAAAGAAAGAAACATACCTGAGAAATCCTGTCCAAAAATTACAAAAAAGGCTTAGGTAGATTAAAGATGGCATAGGTATAAAAGTAGGCAAAGGTAGTTGATGGGAAAAAATCAGCAATATTACTTCTGTCACAAATTAGAAACAAAGGCAGAGATATTTCAGGTTCATAAGAAGGTTCAGGCCACATGAAAGACTCCATCACCTGCTGCACAACAGCCATCACTTCCCCAACAGACAAACCTAATGCCTAACTCTTCTACTAGTGGAGGGTTGTCGCAGGCTCATTTGCATGCAACAGTGCAGTAATATTATGTGGAAATGCATGATTTTAGGTGGGAGTTTCAAGGCTGGTGGGGAACAAAAATTGTGCGTATAGAGGGCAGCACTGAATCGAGAAAGCCATATGTGGGGGAAGATATATCAGAAGGTACAATAAAAAAACTGTCTGCTTTGTGTTATCAAATATTATCATGATCATATTTTTTTCTCCATAAAACAGAAATCAAGACAGTAGAAGTGAGGACAAAAGGGTTGCAACTTTAGCATAAAAGCAGAAGAGTACAGTGTTTGCATAAAAAAAATCAACAGTTTACTGGCATGCTAGCCAGATAATGTAAAAGAAACTAAATGTAATAAGGTAAGATAAACTTTAAGGTAATTTACTTAAGATTGAAAATAAAGAAGAAATAAAATGAAACTGTGCCAAAATTTAAAATGTAGAAACTCAAACACTAGAGAATGAGCTTGGAAATAAAGCAAGAATATACCACCTACTGGATGAGGTTTCTTCTTTTAACTCTAAACATAATGCAAAGAAATCAAAAACTCTCACAAAAGACATTATCTTCGATAGTTTAACCAAGAAAATTAAGGTAAATGCTTCAAAATATTGTCTCACCAACCATCTGTTACAATTACAGTGGTATTCTTCTATCTGAATACAAGTGCTGACCATCATGCAAACTATCCTAAGTAGTGGATAAAACAACATTGATTTAAGTAGCTTCTCAGAGCTGTGTTTCACAAGGTTATGATGAATTTATATTCCATTTTCATTTCAAATACAGGAATATAAATTCAAATTTTACAAGCTATTTATAGAAAAAATAAAAAGTTACTCTTTGCCCCTTAACAGCGTATTAACTTAAAGAATAAATTAGAATTATGAAGAGCACAGCTTACCACAAATGCCTTTTCACAAAGGTTGGTGGTCTGGTCCAATGCTGCCTGCAACTCCCGTGTCAATCGTTTGTTCTCCACCTCTAATTGCTTGTTCCTTTGCAACAGCAGTTGGAGTTCAGAATTTGCTGCTTGACCAGCAGATGAGTTATTGCCCTGAATGAGCTGAACTTGTAGTTCTTGAACCTTTTTGAAAAGCGATAAGATTTGATTTCACTGAAACAAAGACCTTAAAATCTGAAACTTCTGTTATGTCAAAAAGATTAAACTTTAAATACCTCTTCAAATCAAATATATATATTTCAAATTAAATGTGTGTACCCCAGAAGAAAATTTATGAACTATAAAGAACAACATTAAGTAAGTAAGGTGTTGTATTCAAGCTATAAAAAGATTTCCAAACTACAATACATAAATTTCTAACTTAATTTATGAAACTCTCATCAACAAAAATTGAAGTTAATGAAAGCCATTCTACCTCTCCCACTATTTGGAAATGTATAACAATTTTACCTCAAAATTACCAAAAAAAGAGAATACATCAAGGACAACTAAAATACTAGGGTTGCTGATCTAAAATTAATTTTCTTTTGCAAAGTTACAATTAAGATATAAATTTTAAGTTCAAATAGTATGCAATGGTAACTATGTCTTACTTTATGTTTTCAGATATTGTTATGATAATTTTTAAATTCATCAAAAAGAAATGAAGACTGCAAATACTTGAATTGGAAAATTACAAAATCCCATAAATAATATTAATCATAATAATTCAACTTATGAAGCTACATAAAACTTTAAACTGATGGGAGGCTTATGTTTATGTATGTATCTATGATATTTTTACTTGTGTGGTTTATATTTTAGGCTTTGTATGAGGCTACGTAAAACTTTAAACTGATGGGAGGCTTACGTTTATGTATCTATGATATTTTTACTTGTGTGGTTTATATTTTAGGCTTTGTATGAGGCTACGTAAAACTTTAAACTGATGGGAGGCTTACGTTTATGTATCTATGATATTTTTACTTGTGTGGTTTATATTTTAGGCTTTGTATGAGGCTACGTAAAACTTTAAACTGATAGGAGATTTACGTTTACGTATCTATGACATTT